ACATCCCCCGGTCGGAAGAACACCCCTACGCGAAAGATTAATTGCTCTCCCAAACCCCAGACCACCCGACCGTAACAGGCTCTAGAGGCCCACTTTTCTTTAATGTCTTTGGATGTAATTGACAATGAGATTGGATATGCTAGAGCAGCAACAGCTTTGTATTTGGCAAAGGCTCTGGGATCGGATTCTTGTTTGACATCTCTAAATTTGGATCATAATAATATGGGGCAAACTGCAACAAAACCAATTACAATGGCTGATGTGGTTGAGACGCTAATACTAATATTAATATAGCTGATGACATTTTGGTAAGGCTTTGCTTTTGTAGCACAGCTGTGGTGCCTGAATCTGCAGACTATTTTTTAATTGCAATTTTAGACCTATGATATGGTTACCATTTAACTGCACAGCAAATGCACTCAGCTTCTGTGTTTCTATTGCACTTTTGCTGGATGCTCATGTGTTATTTTTGTGGTTTATCCAAGTTGAAATAGATTGACCAGAAGACTTTTCCTGTAAAAAAGCACATCTTGAAACAACTTTAGCCAAAATAAAAAATGGCTTCACAGTGGCAAGGATAAAGGTGATCACTTGTTTGTCAGAAATTATGCCCTTTATACTACATAACCATTTTATTGTCTATGCAAATAGTACTGGGGAGACAACATCATTGCATTGTTTCTTGAGAGGTGTCTGTGTTACATCTCCAAATTGGCCCCCAATCATTGTTTTATCACTTTTTCTCTTCTGTTTTCTGCGGGCCTGAGCATTTGCTAGTGCAACATCATTAACACTATCACGGATAACCCTTAGAGTAGCCTGAAATTGAGTGCACATCAGAGACTGTACTTTACTGAGTAATAGTGAAAAAAAGATAATGTCACCTTGATGTCACACATGGTAGTGTACACCTCCTCCAAGCAAGATATTGTATGCATTGTGTTTGGCAATTTTATTCGTCGAAGCCTTCCAAACCGAGAGACGTTAGTTGCCTTGGAGTCCATTCCATAAATATCCTGTGTCCATCCTAAGTGAAGGTAAATAAGCATCAGATGAAAGAAAAAAGAAAAAAAAACTCTAGCTGCAACTTCATTGTTATCAATTGTGTACTTACCCCAGGACTGCATGCCAAGAACATAGCATTTATGCAGTTTTTCGTCTGGGGCACGGGGATTTGCAGCAAAGGTTCTGTACAGGATATCACGCATCGTCACCCCCAAATCGATATGGTCTTCAAAGATTTTTTTCCGATGTGGTTCGGGGAGACCACCACTCCGGAGTCCGACGATCGCTTCGATCTTATCGATAGTGTTCTTCAAGGATCCCCTAAAGTCGCATTTTTGGCCGATGCGGGCGCGCAAAACGACCGATCGACCTTCATTGCGGCGTTGGCCAGTAGCCCAACAACATATCTTACCCCTAAAGTGAATGTGTAGAGAAAGTTTAATACATAGTCAAGTCAAACACAACAATTGATTTCATAGTTATTTGCGAATTTACACTCACACGTCTATCTTTAACTCATTTCTGTCTAAGAATCGCCTTGCCAGCATATTGGTAAAGAGATTATCGAACGAAGCCTCGGACATCGGCAAGTCGACATCCATGAGGTTCTCGGCGCTATGAACATGTTGCTAGACGTCAACGTGGAATCACGCTAGGAAGGAAGAAGAATGCACTCACTATGTCAAGATCGCCCGCTTGACCGAAACAAATTCGTCTTCATCACGTATCGATTCGTCAAGTCCCTCTTGAATCGATTCTTTCGTAATACGATCGATATCCGCAACTTTCGCGTTTCCTGCTTTGAAAATCTATAAATGACAAGTAAATCAATAAATTCCATTCTAATATGCAGCACAACGAAGTTCTTGACTACCTCATTGATTCTGTCGAAAAGAAGATAAACAATGTTGGGCGCAGTGGTTTCGACAAGCTTCACTTCCTTGTCAAAGTTCTGTTGCATTTCATTCCAATCCGAGCTCATAAATAGATTCCTCGTTTCGATATGCTCTCCGGTGAGGTCCAGAATCCCCCAGTAGACGGGACTGCTATTGCAATTAATAAAATAAATCTTCGTAGTATACATATAAGGATGAATGACCTACTTTATGCATTTCTGGGTCTCTGGTATGGTTTTTGAGTATTGTTGCAATACTTCCGCAACATCTGTCCCGCTAGATAATATCCATCGTCTCTCGTTGCCCGAAGTCTCTTCAGGCTCCATTCTCTCTACGTGACAGTTTTCATTCGCACCAAGACACTCATTATTGTCAACGGGCAAACTGATGATTACATCAGCCCTGCTAGGATCCTCCTCAACCTCGTTAATGGTCAAGGAGTTTCTATTGGGTGTGGAGACCAGATAGTTCTCCTAAAACAAAATTGCGTTAGTGCATGTACACCAATGTCTAGTGGTTCCTCTTCAGCTAATATCAATATGGGAATTGCTAACCTTGAGAGTGCCGATTCCTTCCGCTTCATTAATGTCCGCCTGGGCATTGTTGTGTTGCTGACGAAATATGTGAATGAAACGTCTAAGAAAATCTATTTGCATATTTCTAGGTGCTCACCTTTAAGGCTGTGAGAGTGCACGCAGACGTAACGATCCTTTCTATTGTGGTCTGACATCTCTGATCTTCTTGCTCTTTCTTCAGCTGAATGATGAATTTTTCAATTTCTACTGAGAAGGCACTAAACTTAGAGATAAGCTTTCCTGCTCTGTTGGCTGCATACACATGGACGTTTTTTTTTTGTCTTTATATTGTCGCAGTACTGCATAAATGTCAGCCTTGAGATCATCTACATCATGTACATATAATTGTTTCTTCGATCTAACATAATTCAAGATCGAAACAATCGACCACTGCGAATATTTTGTATTGTCGAGGTATTCCTGTACGATTGATTTGAACATCTAAAGTAATATGAATATGGATTATTACACAAAATGTCGACAAAAGAAGTTTGCATGTGCACAGTCGATGGTATACTGGAGAACAGCATGCAGGATATTACAGGCCTTAAGCATATGTGCTCAAGGATGTTCCTGGAGACTGTCTCCAAGCATCTGATACTGGAAGCAATGGCCACATGCCAGTAGGTATACACAACACAACGCTGGGCACTGACATGCAGGATATTACAGGCCTTAAGCATAATAATGCCCGAGGATGTTCCTGGAGGACAGGCCCAAACATCTAACGACAGAAGTAATGGCTGTACGCCAGTAGGGCTGCGCACGACTGGCACAATAAGAAATACATATACTGGCCTTGATAAAGATAACTTGGATTAAGTAAACGGGACGATTGCGAAAGCACAGAATTTAGGTAATTTTTTATCAATCACGATCAGTGATGCACTCCACGTGATTTATTCATACAAAATTTTCTACCAATTACATGTACTCAACCAATAAATAATTTCTATTCACGAAATGCTAAAGTTATTATTTTATCTCACTGTCCATCTTCCTTATTCCTGGCTTATCTCTGTTCTTCAATATCCAAGCTCTCTAGCTCTGAGCTCCTTAGCACCAAGATGCATATCTTCTCTCCAACTCTCAAATACTTCCTTCTTCTCACCAGCTTCTTCATTCTTACTACTATTGACCCATTCAAGTAGTTCCCTAATATACTCGCCTGCTTTCACAGTTCCAAATTCATGATATGCTTTAGGAGTTTTGAACATTGTATCGATGGAAGTCGAATTATATGCTTTACGCATGGAAGTGAGAGAGGGGAGTTGGACACGGGACGCGAAGACGTGCGAGATCAAAAGAGCTTGCGCGTGGCTCAGGGAGGCCGGGGATACCTTTATTGGAAGGCCTACGAATGTTAGCTAAAAGATTGATTTAAATAAGATGGTAAAGAAAGGGAAGATGCATAGAGGGAGGAGGGCAATTAGTTAGAATGAGAAAAAATACAGCGGCATCATATGATATAAACAACAGAATACCATAAGATCAATAAATGTAAACTCTCCATAGATTTCAACTTACTGTCGGATTGGGTATATAAAACACCTGTTTATACAGGTTATAGACTCTTTCTCCACTTGTAACCAATATTGTCTCCTTACTGACGTCTTCATTCTTTCCATTTCCAACCTCAATACCGTGTAAGAAAGGATACGAATACATAAAACCCGTTGCAAAAATAATTCTATGCACATTTATAACTGTGCCATCTATAAATTCGACTTTGCCGTAAGGAATGCTCCTTTTCTCGTGAATGTAGTTACTACTGTCATCGTCATAATCGTTGGAGTTGTCCGAATAAGATACAATAAATCTCTTTACAATAGGTTTGACAATTACCGACTCGGCGACGTTTGTTAATGGACTTATGCTGCGTATGGAGAGGTATACTGGTGATTTAAAAGTCGAAGCGAGTTCGCGTGAGATATCTGATCCTGATGCCGCGCTCCCTATTACCAATGTTGGCTTAACAAAAAAATGTTGAGTATTATCAGTTGATAATAAAACAACGACATGGTAGTGCAATTGACGCTATAGACAGTCTATTTACCTGGTCTTCAAATAAATCGGGTCGGCGGTATTGTTTAGAATGCAGTACACGTTCAGGCCATGTATTCGCCCACTCTTTTAGACCGTTGATTTCTGGAATATATGGCACATTATAGTGACCAGTACAGACCACTACTGCATCAAAGTGTTCCTCCCTCCATTCGCCCACATATTCTGCGTCATCGCTGCCGTGCGTGCTAATGTCTTTTCGATTATCATCGGGGATTGTCTCTCGATCCTCCCCAATTTTTTCCATATTCGCATTACTCTCAACAAGATCTATTTTTTGCTTATCGTTCTGTGTTGGTCCATTTTCTGTTCTCTTCAATTTCTTCGTAATAACCTCCCATCCATTCTCGCTCTCGATAACTCTTGTCACATCCATGTTATAAGAAATAACATCATTTAGTTTATGTTCCTCAACGAACGATTTCAGGTATGATAGTACGACTTCGTGATTAGAGAATAGAGGCGTATTTGGTGGATATGACGTATTGAAATATGTCATAATTGGCGTTGGTATATTGGTGCGGAGGCCGGCATAGATGGGAGATACATTACGGATATGATGAGAGGTGGAAGAACAAGATGATTCGGTGTCTGGTACTTCTTCAGGAGGATCGGATATCATTGGATCTGTACTCGGAAATAAGGGCACTGGTCCAGTATCCTCAGAGTATATCCTGTTACCATGATTCTATAGTAATTTAGTTGATAGCAGAAACGAAGGTCACAAATCATAAGAATCATTTACATGTAATCTTACCATACTCCTCCAGGCTGTCCTCCTCTCTCGTAAACAGTTACATTCAACCCAATATCCATCAGGACTTTAGCTACTATCAAGCCAGCGACGCCAGCACCTATGACACATACTTTTTGTATTTTATACGGAAATGTGTAATAGTCTGTTGTACTTTCTGACATACTGAAGTAAAAAATGACAATGTTCAACTGTTGGGAGATTTTATGACAAGTGTGCCACCGATAATAATAATGTAATGTGAATGTTGATCGTGATTGATTTCCATATTTTTTGCGATAATAACCTGTGGGCAGCGAGCAAACATTATATCACGTGTCAGGCTAAAATATAACTTCTATTGTACGAATCGCGTCATTAAAATTTCTCAAATGGCTCAATTATTTTAATATTGTCGGTAGTTATTGGAGCTACGCTTTCCTCGCCTTAAATAATATCTTTAAATAAATAAATTCATTAAACTGCATCAATCACAAGAATTACGACCGGTTTAGCTTCGGTTCTGCGGTAATTAAAGGCGATTATTCTCTGTTAAATGCGTATACCAAAGATTATTTGAGAACATCACATATTTATTTGCTGATACCTTGACAAAGCAGCATTGATATTAAAGTAAGACACGTGAGCTATGTTGGCAGTATAAGTAACTTTACCATGAAGAACTGAGTTCTGTTGAAATTATCCTTTACTTCTTTGTTGATGTTATTTAGAATTTGCGCAGGTATCTTTTATCGTGCAAACTTGTCTGTTGTGGTGAAACGGCTTTCACTACTACATATTGCAATATTATATCCAAGGCCAAGACGAATCATAGTATGTTCTTCTCACACATACAGTATTTTCCCGTCTCTCCTTTGGAGATGTTTTACGAACAAGGATATCAATTTTTACAAGAAATGGCCGTATAAAGATGTATATCTCTGACAAATGCACAAATGATTTGATAAAGATACTCTTGTCTTTTGTAATCCAAAGGAGGGTTAGTACCCCGGCGAAAATAATGGCGACCAGTATTTCTTTAAATTATCAACTTTGTTCTTATTATTTTTTAAAAAAATTTTATATTACAGAGTACAGTCAGACCTCTCTAAATGCAACCTCTCTAAATGCACACACTATATAAACTCTCCATAAATGCACGGTATGGTTCAGTCCCAGCTTATAAGAACATTATATATTTTGCTCTCTGTAAATGCACACTCTCTCTAAATGCACACTTTTGGATTTTTTTCACTATGGTCCCGACAACGTGCATTTAGAGATGTCTGACTGTAAGAAGTTCAAGGCTAATATCATAATTGCCCAAAAATCAAAACAAATAGTGGCTTCCTTTTAGATCTATATTAATTTAAACAAATAAAATTTGACAAGAAGCAACTGTAAATAAAAGCTTACAGATTGGACTATACTGTATATACGAAAAAATGGTGGTACCCAAAATTTATTGTTTTCCACAATTACATGACGTAATTAGATAAATTTAGGCTTATTTGAAAGGTTATGAGTTGTATAATTCTATTGCAGTTGTGCTGAAAATTTAGTTCCCAAAAACTGACCTGAAGATTTTTACGGATAGAATTTGCCGGAAGACTTTTTAATGGTATATCAAACTCACGAACGTGCTGAATGAGAAGTCTGCGGTGTGCAGTCAGGCGCGTTCTTTAGATAAATATATCCCAGTTTTCTACATCACCCCATAAATCAGAAGCTCTATTCCAATAATCTAAGAAAAGTAGTCATGAACATAAGTATCAGTTAATACAGTTTCACAAACCAAGAGAATTATATTAATGTACTAGGATAGCGAAGTAATTCAAAAATCTCTTTTGATAAAGCGCCATGATTACGCAGCGAATAAGGAGAAAAACTTAAAGAATAACAGGACTAAGCGCCTCTCGTTACATACACAGTCATTCTCGATATAATGATCCCCTGGTAAAATAATGTTAGCCTAAGATGAGGTTTTTTCTAGAATCAAGTCAGTTATAATATATAAAAAGATTTTGTTATAATGAACTCTCGATAGTATGACTGTAATAATAACGCGCAAATTTTTAATCACGTGTCCCGTAATACTTGGCACGCACGCGAAACGAGTTTTTGCATCGACCATTTCTAATATACCCATCTTTCCGTATTTTTGTGTTAATTGCCCTCCCTCCGATCAGGTAATGTGTCAAATGTTTTTATTTCTTTTTTCTTTGCCTTACCGAAACTTGGTTAAACAAATTTATTATTTTCGAATAAAAAAGATACAGGTTTGAACCTCGGAAATATTTGGTGGCATTTTGTTGCAGTAGTGCCCTATATTAAAATGCTACATATCTAAAAGAGCATTTTATACAGAGATTTCATTTAAACAACAATGTGTCAGCGTTTTCGTTACATAGTGCAGATTAGAAAAATCGTTGGCATTCCTGCAATACGTCTTAACAAAATCAATTCTGGGCATTCACAAAGTTGAATCGCGAAGATTTCTGCGGTATTATGTTCATTTGATGTATTCATCCTTATTTGGCACAGCTGGTCTTGTGGTATGGTCAAGTGAATATAAATATGACTTGTCTAATTGAAGGATTAAAACTGATATAAACCTGTCACATCTTTTCCCCGTCACTTGCTCATCGCATTGTTGGCTAGTAATAAAACAAGACGTTCAATTAGAATTGAATCATATTATACTCTCAACTTTATCAATATGCTTACCATTGTGACAGTAGATATGTTATCATTTACGTCTTCGTGTCTCCACAATGAAGTTACTGTTTTCGTTTGAGTATAGAATTGCAATCCGGATTTTCCATCTGGAAAACAGAAAAAAGACGGTAATCAGCAAAAATCATTTATTTCTGAAAAAAACAACAACAAACAATACTCACAAAAATTAATGTCGCCTCGTATTGACTCACGATTTCCAGTAAAAGAAAACATTGGCAATGGAACAGGAATGGGGACATTGACTAAATAACAAAGCAAGAGTTATATAAATCGTAACAAAATCAACCAAGCAATCGTCAATAAGGATACTTACTTCCAACCTGCCCAGCCCCAATATTAGAAGTAAAGTATCTAGCATTACTCCCGCTGTTGGTAAAGATAGCCGTACCATTCCCATATGGATTCTTGTTGATCAGTTCAATCGCTTCATTGAGAGAATCAACAAACAAACAAACAAGCACAGGACCAAAAATCTCTTGCTATAATAATAGATAAGGAATAATTGTAGTTAATAATGCTCGAGAGACGGAAACGATGGAGTCACTATAAAATCACATGTCACCTTATAACACTCCATATGTGGTTTAACATTAACAAGAATAGTAGGTCCTAATAAATAATTATTCGGAATACCGAGTGTCAGATAATCATTACACTCTTCAATCATACTATTGTCGCGTACATACCAACAAAGTTTCCATTTTTATACTTGTCAGGAACTTGCGGATTTCTTCCATCCAGCACTAAGTCCGCACCCTCATCAACTCCACTTTGAATCAGTGTCTCCACACGCTGTTTAGCTTGAGGACTGATCAATGGCCCAAGATCAGCATCTGGTTCAAGGCCACCTGTGACTTTGAGTTTGGAAGCGCGCTCGATTAGTTCGGGAAGCCACTTTTTTGTTTCACCAACGAATATTGCTGTAGAAAGGGCCTATGGATCCATGACGGTAAAGTAAGAAATAAAACAAATTATTATAAATATTTAAATGCTAAGGCTTTTTTTTTATACCGATCAACCAGTAATTACCATGCATCGTTGTCCTGCTGCTCCAAATGCTGCACCAGACAGTGAATTTAGCGTATGATTCTGAAATAATATCCGACAGTTAGCAGTATCACTCATATAATAAGAAAGCAACACTTGACTAATCATGCAAAGCGCGTTAATAATATTGTTTGAACAAATGCTGAGAACCTTGTTTGCATCCGGCATAATCACACCGTGGTTTTTTGCAGCTAGATTGGCCTTTATAGGAAGCATCAGTCAACTACGGAACGTTCATTCACTAGCTGAACACTAATCACAATGCCAACCTGAACTCTCTTGCCTTTTGCAGTACCTCTTGAATGAATATACTTTCCGGCTACAAATCACAGTTTGAGATTCATGTTAACACTTACACGGTTGTACCAATAGCATTCTCGATATCATTATACTCACCCTTATCACTACCTACGAAAGAAATGGCTTTAATGGTTTCATTATCAATTAGATAATTGACAGTATCCACAGATCCATGTACAACATTCAACACTCCGTTAGGCAATCCGGCCTCTTTAGTCAGTTCAGCCAATATCATCATTGCACCTGGATCTCTTTCCGATGGTTTAACTATCATCGTATTCCCTGTTGCTATAGCTAGAGGGAACATCCAAAGAGGTATCATGGCTGGGAAATTAAATGGACATATCCCAGCTGTAACACCCAACGGCTCCCTGATCGTATATGTATCCATGTCTCTCGATACTTCCAAGTTATCTCCCATCATGAGATTTGTAACACCACAGGCATTTTCAACAACTTGTAATCCTCTGAATACATCGCCCTTCGCATCGGGAATCGTTTTCCCCTGCTCCTCGGTAATAGCTTTGGCAATTCGATCCGTATTCTCGCGAATGAGATGCTGCAGATCGAGCAGAAAACGTTGTCGAGTAAGAATGGAGCTCTCCCGCCAAGTGAGAAAGGCCTCTTGCGATGCAACAGCGGCCGCATCAAGTTCTTCTTGGATTGGTTCTGGTACCTCTGTTATGAGCTCATTTGTTGCCTTCGAATTTTGATTTGTTAGCAATTGAAAGTATCATATTCTTTAAACATAAAGTCGTAGTATAATACGCTTACTGGATTGTGTAGTGGAATCCATTTGTTAGTGCGAGATTCGATAAATTCTCCGTTAATGTATAATTTCGTTCTAGAACTTGCGTATCGTCGTGTAATCAACGTGGACGTTGTTTGAACCTTTCGAAAACGTGACAGTCCTCTAAAGATCATCATATAAATGCTTGCAAACACCCAACAAGTGTTCGTGATTATTATTTGGTCGGAATGTTGAGGGGATCAACGTCAAGTGTCACATATTCTTTACTAATAATAGTTTATTTCTCAGGCTTGTAGATCATGACCTAAAAATAACAGCCATCATGCATAATTGAGGACTAAAATCTAT